ACACACACACACACACACATGTGAACAAACGGCAGCAGCGTCACTTGCCACAGACGTTCGTTGCAAAGCTCTTGCCGGTGCCGTCGGCCACGGGTCAAGTGCCTATCCGCATGAGTTTTTTGAACGCTTTCCGGAATTCCGGGTTAAATATCGTATATATCACTGGATTGACGAAGCTGTTCATGTAGCCTAGCCACGTAGTCAGTATGAACATCCGGACGCCGGGTGAACACTCCTTGTCCAGTTTGTGGCAAATCGCGTCCAGTATGTTGCACGTGAAGAACGGCACCCAACAGAATAGGAACACACCTGAAACACGAAATGGTATTTTTATGAAACTGTTTTTATAACAATCATGTTTTCAAGGGTTGTGGCGAAGGAGAGTACATCTCGAGCTGAACAAAGTTGTTGTTTTTTCGGGCGCCACTAATAAAAGTATCCGGTGATATATAATATATATATATATATAAGTTTTAAATAAAACCAGTGACATGGTATGATGAAAAATTAAAGAAGGTTAGATATCTAAAAATACAAATAAATATGATAAAGGTCGTCGCATTCTCTTTCTTACAATGAATTATTCGGTGGTCCCTCGGTTTCCGGTCCCTAGTATAATAATTTCGATCCCTAGGACAGGGTCAAGTCAACAATGTTATAGCATATTATACTTTTTGTATATACAATAATTGAATAAACAATTTATAGTATTTGAATAATTTTTGCGACCAATTTGTCGGTTCAACCSATTTGTTTTTGTGACGACAAAAATATTACTCGAACGGGCATCCAAGCGAAYCCATTAAGTTTTTATATACTTTGATCTTACGTTAGGTGGAGCTGAGATCAGTAACACAAATAGCGATACGCTTATATATTAAATAAAAATTATTATGCACTTATACATCTATCCTTTATCTAAACTTCACTAATTCACTATACGTAATATTGTTGAAAGCTATTCCAAATTACAATTAACTTGTGGTTCTGTAATTCAGTTTATCATAACAATAATTATTTATCATTAATACTTTTAAAATATGCTCATTAAATATTGACTTTGCTACAAATAAAAATATCCCATTACTTTGCTATAACAATTATTTATGATTAACTGCAAAACTAATAAATTATTATGTATAAATTAATAATTATTATTWATAATTTAATTAATTATTAAAATACTTATTTTTTTTACTGATATTAAATTTAAGTCATCTYTAATTTATTAAAAATAAAATATACTTAATATTCTATACAATTGAGAATATTAAAAGTGCCTTCAGATTTGTGATTATATATAGATTCAATAGTTGACGTTTACAGCGAAGATGGTCTACGGTAACAACATTTTTACAACTATTTAAGACATCGATTAAAATTATACGTTCACTGGTTTGTCTAATGGGTTTTTGGTTTTTGTATGATTCTTTATTTAGAATCTCCTTGTAGGAGCTTAKTTTTTGGCGTTTTCTGTGGCTTAAATAAAGTAAATAAGTCTTCAAAYAATTATTAGACTATAATAAAACTGCAAAATAATTTAGATTTCGTCCTTTTTTTTATTTAATAGTTAATCCTTAATTTTTAGATATAAGATTCAAAAGTGATTTTAAAGGTTTAAATGTATTTTTGTTCTAATTTAATTTGTATGGGAGTGTTGTTGTGTATGAATGTTACACAAAAAAGCATTTTAGCAATAAACAGTGAAATTAATAAATAATAATACTACCTACTAAACAAAATGTCTGTAATTAACTAATTTYTGTAACTAATGGCCATAGATGCCGGGTTGTAAATATATTTTTGGATCAATAAAAAAAAAAATAAAAAAATATATTGTTATTCAAACGAAATGAAAATCGAAAGAAAATGAAAATAAAGTGTGATTACCCAGAGTACTTACGCAAAAAGTAAATTATTCRTATTTATATTGTTAGGTATATCACGAAACATGTTCATATCTCTGTATGGTTTAAGTTTAAGAGGATTTCACACCTACATGACGTGTTGTCTCCATCTTACGGACGTAAAACATAGATAATTTAATGTACAAAATAATTATCTATTTATTAATTTTATTTTGTTTATCTAATAAATTTGAGTGAATTACAAGGTATTATCTTCTTGGATGTCTTTGGACCTTTCATTGATATTTTAATAACAAATAAATGGAATTATAAAAAATAAATAACATTTATGGAATATATTGAAGTAAAGAAATTAATAAGTTAAATAAAATAAAAATAAAAAAGAATATATTTAATAGTCTAAATGTAAATGTTAAAATCATATTTACTTTATATTACGTCAAGAAAACTTTTGTAATTGTATTTTATTCAGACGCCAATTGTTTGAATTTCAATTCATATATGTATTAGGTATGACGATTGCATAAATAAAACTATTCATGAATAATCTTTATATTAAAAATAGAAAATAAAATATGTTGACACATACCACTTCTTTAAATTGCATAAAAATGTATGTAATATATATTAAGGTAATGTAAAAATTCCTAAAATAGATTTTTTTTTATAGAAATCGTTGTTAATGGAGAAAATGGAGATGCACTTATTTGACAAATCACCRTATTATAATTATATAGATTACAAATTCTTGATGCATCCTGTAATGATTCAACTATTGAAAATCATATGCATACATTTTCGCAAGCATAACAATCGTAATAATTGTTATTAAAATTTCTTCGCTATAATAAAAATAATAATATAAATATAAAAGTACATATTCGAATCATCACTTCATTTGTTTAAATATAATATTGCTGTGTGATTAAAAGTAATGTTTTTAAATAACTATCCATGTTAATTCTATGTATACAATACTGTGGAATGTAGGTAGGTATTCATTATGTTGTCATTTTTGCATTTTTTGAAAGTTTTCCTACATTACTCGCAGATTTCGTTTTATGGGTTTTGTTTAATTTTTTTTTTTTTTTATTATTTAATTAGAAGAATATATTTACAATCTATTTTTACAATTATCAGTAAGTATGATGACAAAATTTTATTCATATGACATTAAGGAGATTAGAAAAGGAAGGCCCTCAGTAGTGCCACCTGACAAGAAACATATTAAGTTAATTATTTGGTATAATTTTAATTTTTTGTGTTTTTTGTGTTTATGCTTTGAGCACGTCTCGGGGCCAYAGCCTTTTTAGTCTTTTGTATTTAATTTACAGAATTTTATAGGTTAAACTGTCTGTACCGAATCGACCTTTTTATKTCCTATACGGTTTATGTACATAGTTTAAAAAACATTCTTTATTACATAACTTGATCATACCAACTGTGGCAGTGTGGCGTAATAATTATTGAATGTATTCAATGATTTTATTAGTTTTCGTATAAGTTTTGTAATGTATCGGTACTTATACATCACTTTACCGTAATTTTTAACTAAAATATTATAAACTATTGCAACYGCTTATCGTCGTACATCGGCACGAGCGAGATCAGATGTTTTAGTTGTTCGCCACTTGTGTTTTGTGTCGGTAGTTAATATTGTATATTATATTATGTGAACAGAATTGATTTCTTCTGTTTATATTCAATTATTTAAGTATATAGGTTTATCGCACATTAATTCCCAACGTTTACTAAACTCTTACGAAATAATTTCAAACCAAAATGCAAATTATTGAAAAGAAAAAAATATCGTACTTGTCCTTTATATACAGGCACATAAATTATAGCAATATTTAATATTTGTTAAGACTTGAGAACCGGTTTGTCACAACTCGGTGGCTTACGAGTTTCAGAAATTTTTATAAAAGACGACAAAAGTTCAATTGACAGGTGCGGATTACAGAGAGTACGTTTGGGATTACGTTGCCGTGGAAAATATGCAAAAGAATTAGACTCATCATGCACGATTATACTGCATCGTAAAAACGTATGCATACGACGTCCCGTTCCGGTGACGATGACAGCTCTGTGTAATGAACAGTATACTATAGTAATATTGTGGTGAAATAATATAAATAATATAATATTTTATGCAAACCACTGATAWCGCAATATAACGGCTATAATAATAATAATAATAATTATGATGATGACAATAGTTAAATCGTTGTGGTTTTCATTACAGAGGCTGCTAATGACGCATTAGTGAAAGTATATATATATATTATACACGACGATCACCACAACCATGTTTAACCCCGATATTTTTCTTTCAAAATTTAATTTATTCAAATACTGATTTAAACAATATTAAAGACTATAATATACTCTCAAATACTAAGATTTTATACCATTTAAGCAGTGTATACTCAGTACTACTGACATCGGTGACAGTCAATTCATTTTTTAAAATGAGGAACACCATTTTTTCCTATAAATTGTAAATTAGACGAATTTTTAACACCTATATTAATGTACTTATTTAAATAGAATTTTTAGTGGGGTTTTTTTWAAATATTGTGTGTATTAAGAATAGAATCTATTAATGATTGGTCAATTATGAAATTGGCTCGGAAGATTTGGATAATTTTGAAATTATAATATAATAGTAATTAATACTTAAGTGACAACTTATAATTTGTGAATATTTTTTTCGTTTAATTTGATCAAATTTTACTTATAAATATATTTTATATTTATCCATATTACATTATATAGATTTTAATTTCTCAAAAACTATTCCTTAAAATTAGATTGTTTGTATGTTAACAAAATGTTCAAAAAATAATCTRCTTGACAATTTACTGAAGATAAGTAGGTGCTAATTTGAAAAAAAATAAATTGGTAAATAATATTCAATATTTGGAAATACTTGCCTTGTGTATGATTACAAATTCAAAAAGTCAGAATTTAAATAAATACATTTGTGAAGAAAAAATTATGGTGAGCATGGTTGTATTGGGTGGATCAAACGTTTAATGCTTAAATTTGGAGGGGGGACCAAAGTACAAAATAATTTACAACATCAATACTATGGACATACACTACTGCCTTAAAGTGGAAAACTAAGGCTAAAACTAAGGCTAAAACAAAGGGTAATTAAAGTACTTGAGGGAGGGAATTCTCTACTTTGCTCACCAATGAATCCACCACTACATAGTTGAAGGTGTATTACTATGTATGTAGGTAGTGGTCAAAMGATCGGTACCTAGCTCGTGAAAGTTTCAGTTACCAGCCACCCGAATACAACAACTTTATCGTGTGACTTAATATAATATATAATATAATATTTTATCAGACTTATTATTCTGTATAGTGCCCATCTAAAAAAATAACTCATTCGAAACGCAATCACTTCAGATTATACTGAGTATCCATACG